ATTTCAGCTCAGGTTATGATTTTGGGGTCCTGGGATCAAGCCCCATGTTGGGCTCCATGCTCAGTGTGGAGTCTGCTTGTCCCTCTCCCTCTGCTCCTTCCCCTGCTCTCTCTCTCAAATAAAATAAATAAATAAATAAATAAATAAATAAATAAATAAATAAATAAAACCTTAAAAAAAAGAACCACACTGAACTGCCAGTTCCCACCCAATAAAATGAGTAATCAAAATCACAGACAGTAACAAGCATTGAAAGATGTCGGAAAATGGGAATCCTTACACACTGTTGGTGGGATTGTAAAATGGTGTGACTACTTTAGGAAACAATTTGGCAGTTCCTCAAAATGTTATATACGTCAAGCTGCCATATGACCTGGCAATTACACCCCAGGTATATGCTCGAGAGAAATGAAAACACGTGCTCATACAAAAATTTGTACATGAATGTTCACAACAGCATTCGTAATAAGTAGAAATAAAACAATAAACTGCTGAGTGGATAACTGAAATGGGGTATTGTCCATACAATGGATATCATTTGGCAATTAAAAAAAGTACTGTTATATGCTATAACACCGATGAACCTTAAAGACATTATGCTACGTGAAAGAAGCAGTCACAAAAGACCACACGTTTTATGATTTATATAAACTGCCCAGAACAGGCCAATCTGGAGGGACAGAAAATAGATTAACAGTTGCCTAGTGCTGCAGGTCTGGGGGATGGGGAGTGACTGCTAGTAGGTATGGAGTTACTTTTTGGGGTGATGAGAATGTTCTAAACTTAGATTGTGATGGTTACATCACCTTTCATTTACCAAAAACCACCTGATTTTACCTTAATAGGCAAAGCTTATGGTACATGAATTATCTTTCAATAAATACATTAATACCATTTTCAATAGCACCCAAAATCATGCAGTATGTTGGGGTAGATTTTACAAAGCATGTATATGACCAGTTCCCTGAAAACTATAAAATATTAGTAGGAAAAGTTAAAGTTAAGTTAAAGACATATGTTAGAGTGAAAAGTGAAAGACTTAAACAAATAGAGAAACATATGTTCAATTACTAATGACTCACAATTGTTAAGATGCCAATTCCCCTCAAAGCAGTCTATAGACTCAATACAACCTCCATCAAAATCCCAAAATACTGATTTTTAAAGAAAGCCTATTTTGAAATTCCTATGGAAATGCTCAGGACCTAGAATTTGCCAACACACTTTTGGAAAAGACCAACAAAGTTGGAAGAATCACACTAATTTTAAGATTCACTATAAAACTACAATAATCAAATCACTGTTATGAAAGTAAAGGTAAAAAATCAATCAATGAAACAATACAGAAATATCTGCATACATATATGGGCAATTGATTTACGGAAAGATGCTAACAAATACAAATATAGTGAAAGGATGGTTTTTTAAAAAAAAAAAAAGTGGAGCTAGAGCACTGGATAGAAACTTGGAAAAAAATGTTTCACTGTCCTTACTTTATACCATGCAAAAAAATTATCTTGAAATGGATCGTCGACTTAAATGTAAGAGCTAAAACAATAGCACTTCAAGAAGTAAACTTAGAAGAGAACATTTGTGACCTCAGTTTAGGCAATGATTTCTCAGGACACTAAAAAAATGAACCATAAGAGAAAAAAATGTCAGGGGCACCTGGGTGGCTCAGTTGGTTAAGCAGCTGCCTTCGGCTCAGGTCATGATC